GCTGCCCATGGCCGAAGCAAATTCTTTTCATACACCCCGGTAGTCGTAGGCCCTTGGGTATATGGAATTAGTGTGTATGTACATACATATATTCATTAGATTTCAAGCCATTACGAATTTGTGTGTAACTTTATTTATTTAAATACTTTTGTGTTTAAAAAAAAGTAAATTATATTTAATTTCAAATTTATTATATTGTTTCTACATAAAAACCGAATTCAATATTCAGGATTCAGGATCTCGCTCTTAAGTTTGTGTGTACGTTGTCCGAGTCGATGGGTATCGCACAGTCGCAATGTCCGAATTTGTCGTTTTTCTTTTCCTTTTTTTTCGCTTCGTTCTCGAATGCGGATGACTAACGCCTGCCTGGCTGTCCCTCTCTTTCCACTACTGTTTCGCTTTGGTTTTTTTTTTGTTTTTGCGATAGTAGGATATTTTTGTACTCTATGTGTGTGTGTGTGTGTGGGCGTGTGGTGGAGAAGGGGAACGAGGAAAGTGGAATATAACTTTGGGACTTCGGCCAATGCACAGTGGGCGAAAATTCCGTTCTTATTTTGCCTTAACCTCCCACGGTAAAGCTAGAAAGTTGGAACTTGGAGTATTGGCTGTTCATATTATAAGTGAATTTCGAATTCATTTTCCGTCCGATGCGACCACGAATAATATTATGTAAATATTACATCACAATTTTCGGCGGCATTTCCGACCAATGTGCAATGTGACGACAGCGACGACGCTGTAGCCTTCGTCACCATCGGAAGCCCAACACTCGACTACAGGGTTTTAGATTACTCTACATTAATTAGTCACAGAGAGTCGGAGAATGAACCGAGAGAACTGTTTATTTGCGGAGACCTTGAATAAACCTTAATTGATAAACACCGGACACTGCTATGCTTCTCTACAAATTTAATATATGTACATATGTATCTGCAATTCCATCTATAGAACTGGACATGCTCTATGGCTTGGGCTTGGTACACCTTGTATCCTGTGCCTGTGTAAGAATCGTCGTAGTTGTCGATTTTTCCAATTCCTGTTCCAATCCAATTACAAATATTTAAAATCCCCCGTATTGGTTGCGCAGTGTAGAAAACCATTTTCTCAGCTATGCCTTTGGCGCCGACATATTGTTGTAGATTTTAATTAATGCAGCTGCCATCGAAAGGGGAAGCCACAGACCCAGACCCAGCCCCAGCCCCAGTCCCAGTCGCACTCTGCCCCCCACTCTACAGTGAAACGCACTGTATTTGACGTATGTGTGTGTGTGTGTGTGTGTCTATGTCCATGTTCAGGTGTCAATGTGCCAAGTCAATTAATCGGCGATTGGAATCGCTTTTGCTGTTTGTTCTTGTCGGTACTATACTCCTCCTTTTCTAGTTCCTCCTCCTCCTCGTCCTCCTTCAGGTGCCTTTTTTTGCTAGCTCCCTCCAACTGACTTTCCATCTTTATGACATGCCACAGGACCGCAGGATGATGGCATTCCTGGTGCTGGTACAATATGAGGATGTCTGGATATGACATTTTGCCGGCGCCATCTGCACCGTGCACCGTACAGCGCCCCCCTGTACGCCCCTCGCAGTGCCTAGTTGCCTTATGCGGCATAACATAGGAATTCAATTTCCTGCAAGTAAGCTCTCGCTCTCTCCCTATCGCCCCGCCTGAGGTTGTCTAATGCGCCGGAAATGCTCTTGAAAAATGCTGCACGCAAAGTTCATGGCAATTTTTCCCGCTCAGCGGGGGGCTCAGTGTGTAGAAGGAGCAGAATCAGACGACCCGCTGAGTTTCCGCCTTTCCGCTTTTCCACCTTCGTATTCGTATATCTCTCGTCTCTCAATGCAGTGGAGAGAAGGAGGGAAGGCTCACATTGAATTCAGGGATTATCTCCGTTCCGTCAAGAAGTAAATGCCAAGCGATTGAGATGGATATTGATATTGATAGGAGCACCACGTCGCATCCTTGCCTTTTCCAGAAATTATATTTCCTTCAGGTCTGAGCGGATTTCCATTTGTTTTCGATTCAGCCTCACCCCGCCGTAATTCGTCTCAATTTAAAGTGGCGAGCCCCGCTAACTGCTGTTAGCACTCATATTCGGATGCGCAGATCCTTACCACATCCTTGATATTGCCGGGCCTTACGGGCAAGCAGAGAGCAAGTTTTTATTGTCCTCTCAGTAATGTAATTTTTGTTCCCTAGTTTATGCTACAGTTCCGAGACCCAGTCAGTTTATGGGGTGGTCCAGTAAGAGGCGGAGACGGAGGATCCCTTCATCTTCCATCTATGTAACTCATGAAGATGAAATTGAAATGAATTATTTGTAATAAAAAAGCGGCAAATCCTTCAGGCAGTACACAGCTCAAGCTTCTATGTTCTCCTTCTACTCCTACTCGTGCTCGTGCTCCTGCTCCTGCTACTCCTGCATCCTTGTACTTGGAACAGTGAAAAAGTATATTGCTCTTACCGACACTCTTACTTCTGTTGGCCGCTTCGGATGGTTAAGATAAGATTCCATTTGGGTATGAAGCTATTAACGAGAATATTAACTCATTTTCACATTCAAATTTAATCAGAAGATGTGAGTATATGAGTATGTGAGAAATATTTCACTCCGGATTAATCGACAATCCTTACATTTTTAAATCTAAAAGTTAACTCGATTCTCAGCACTTTTTCTCTGGGTGTATGTTCCCTAGTCATTTCTGGGTCAACTATTTTTGTAGCTCTCTCTCTCTATCTTTCTCTCTCGCTGTCGTGGGCTTTTATGACTTTTCATAAATGGTAGAAAGTCTGTTTTCCCTTCCAGGCCTAGGACTAGGACTAGGACTAGTGGGATTAGCCACAATCAGATTTTTGCAAAATTGAAATGCAAAGCCAACAAAGGGAGTGCATAGAGGAGTAACCATTCCCCGAGAGCAAATTACTCTACGGAATACGGGATACATATATGTACACACATATACATATATGTACATACATATACCATATACATAAATACAGTTTAAATATAATCGGGCATCAGCCTTGAGATTAGAGATCACTCTTTCCCCCTTATCTCCGACTGTTGTGCAATTCCACACACAAAATGGCGTCGCCGTCACTCGGTTATGGCCCACACGTTCCTCCCGCATTCCCCTCGTTGTCTGAGGTAAGAAAAGTGGGTGGGGTGGGGTGGGCAGTGGAGAGGAGAGGATAGAGTGAGACAGAGAGGCTGGAGAAGAGGCCCGTCAATTTGACATTCGATTCCATTCCATTCAATCGAGTCGAGTCGATTAAACGATTAGAGATTCCTGCACACATTGCCGGGCCTGGGACCAGGCCCGTAGCCCACCGGGAATTGTGCAATCAACATTTTTGTGTTCAAACAATTCAAACACTGCTTATAAGTGGGTGGGGGTGAGGTGAGGAGATGATGCATGATGCATGATGTACGTACTCGCATGCCTTGCAAATTATTGTTATTTTTCGTGCTTATTGTGTGCACTTTCATACACAAATTCGTACATGCATATGCGCATACATGTATTACATACATACATATGTATTGCATCGTAAGAAATTCCGAATCCCGCTCGCAGCAAATAATTCTTCTCCGTTCGTACCATTCAAGTCCGTTCTCTTGTGTACAGGCTCAAGCAATTGACAGAAGCTCAGATAAAAGAGCACTTCTAATAATCTCGTTAGATGCATATCTGCTCAAGAGAACGATGTCTGCCGAGTGAGCTGCCACTGTACAGGCATGTAAACATTGCATGGCCTGCATTTCATGAATTCCTATAACCGCAAACCCGTCCTCTGTTTCACTCTCATGCTCCCCTCTACCTGGCTCTCTGTCCCCTCTCTCGCTCTCTCCCACCTGACTCATTCTTCTTTACGTTGGGTGGGGAGGGAGTAGGATGGCGATTAACATAAATCCCTGGCACGTGCTTTGTGTGGCAGCAGTCAGTCGGAGGGCAGCGGCAGCCTCAGTTTCATTTGAGCATTGTAAAAGTTCTATGCAAATAAGGTGGGGACGTAGTTCCGCAGAGGGGTGGGGTGGGCTGGGTTGGGTTGGTAGGAAGAGAGGATGAATAACAGGGCGAGGGGAAGCTTTTTGTTCTTGTTTCGTTACATTTGTTAACGGTAAACAAAACTCGATAAGAATGCAGAAATAAATCAAAAAAAGAGGAGCAGTTCCGGTAAGACGGTAAGCAGGAAGAGGAGGAGAGAAGGTGACGGCGATAGTGAAGTGTGAAATTTTGTGTGCAATTGCTTCGAGCGAAATTTGGAAATCTTCTTCGAAACCCCGAGAGGCCTCCCGCCATTTCCTTCCTCCTTCCTTCCTGCGCTGTTCCGTCTCGTTTCTCCTTTTACTGCCTGCACTTGAAAGCTTTCCCTGCAGGCAATTGCCTGCAAGTCCGGAGTAGGCTAAGTGAGTGATTAAGTGAGAACATAATAATAGAAAGCCAGAGAGAAAGCTGAAGCCAATGCGAAAGCCTTTTCTGCTCGCTTCAGGGACCAGAGCCACACATACCCTTGCAACAACAGATGCAACAGATGCATCTCCCTGGGGCTTGGGGAGAGTTACTCGTACTGGCTAAGTAGTCGAGCCGATTTGGACCAAATACGGATGTATGTACATACATACATACATACATACATATATGTAAACAGAAAAGATAGCGACAATATTACCCAATATTAATGCTTAGTAGGATCGTGCATGCTTTCTTCTCTGCGTTGAATTTAATGTACATATGTGCATATGAATACATATATCTGAATACATATGTATATGAATACATTTATATGAATAAATATACATATGTGAATACATTTATATGAATATAAGTGACCGGCTTTGAGTTCTGTAACAGGTTTGAATGATTACGTATTGTTCCCATTGCAATATACATATGTACATACATACATATGTATGTACTTTGTACATACATAGATCCTAAGCTGCTTAATAAACTTGTGTTACCGTTTCTTTGTTTTGTTTTGATTCGTTCTTTTTTCAGCTGCCAGTACTACGTGAAGAGCCATCCATGGGTGCTGGCCTACCAGGGCGTGATCACATTCTTTGTGCTGGCCAACTTCACGCTGGCGACATTCATGGACCCGGGCATTATACCCAAAGGTATGTAGCGTGCTAAGCGAGGGCCAGCGCTAGTCCGCACAGCCTAAACTTCGACTGCATTCTAGCCTCACCCGACGAAGACTGCGAGGAGGAGCTGCGCGCCCCGCTCTACAAGAATGCTGAGATCAACGGCATCACCGTCAAGATGAAATGGTGCGTCACCTGCAAGTTCTATCGCCCGCCCCGCTGCTCCCACTGCTCCGTATGTAATCACTGCATAGAGGTTAGTACATACCCCGCCCCATACCTCACACAGACACACACACACTCACACACAACCCCAGCCTTTTGCTGCTTTCCCAAAATTGTGATTTTGATTCCGATTTGTTTCTCTCCTGACAGACCTTCGACCATCATTGCCCGTGGGTCAACAACTGCATTGGCCGGAGGAACTATCGATTCTTTTTCTTCTTCCTCGTCTCACTCTCCATCCACATGCTGAGCATATTCTCGCTGTGCCTGGTCTATGTGCTCAAGATAATGCCCAACATCAAGGACACGGCGCCCATTGTAGCGTATCCTTTACCAAGCAAAACATTAATTAATATCTATGCAGAGTTTCTTTGGGGAATGTCCAGTTCCAGTTTTCTCTCCGATATGTGTGTGGTTTCCCTTAACCCTTTTGCGATATCTCCCACAGCATGATACTGATGGGCCTTGTGACCATTCTGGCGATACCCATATTTGGCTTGACCGGCTTCCACATGGTGCTGGTCTCACGGGGTCGCACGACCAACGAGCAGGTCACGGGCAAGTTCAAGGGCGGCTACAATCCGTTCTCGCGCGGCTGCTGGCACAACTGCTGCTACACACAGTTTGGACCACAGTATCCAAGGTGAGTGGACATACATACATACACACAGAAAGTGTGCAAAACTATGAGCTGGAGGTCATCCTAGCTTTGATTCAGACCGATCATGATGCTGAATCACTATATGAATACATACATATGTATATGAATAGTACTATATATGAATACATATATGTGAATTTGAATACATTCATATAAATACTCTCATATGAATATGAATACATTCATGCATTCATACAAATGTCCGTATCAGAGAACTGCATTGAGTAATGATCTCGATCCTGATGCTGAATCACTATATGAATACATATATGAATACATGTATGAATACATTTATATGAATATGAATACATTCATATGAATATGAATACATTCATACAAATGTCCGTATCAGAGAACTGCATTGAGTAATGATCTCGATCCTGATACTGAATCACTATATGAATACATATATGAATACATTCATATGAATATGAATACATTCATATGAATATGAATACATTCATATGAATATGAATACATTCATATGAATATGAATACATTCATGCATTCATGAATACATTCATATTAATATGAATACATTCATGCATTCATACAAATATCGGTACTAGAGAACTGCATTGAGTAAGTATCCAAGGTAAGTCGATATACATATGTACATACATACACAGACACACACATACATACATACATACATACAAACATACATACATACAAACATACATACATTCGTACATACATACAAACAAACATACATACATACAAACATACATACAAACATACATACAAACATACATACATACATACCTACATACAAACATACGTACAAACATACATACATACAAACATACATACAAACATACATTCGTACATACATACAAACATACATACATACATACATACAAACATACGTACAAACATACATACATACATACATACATACAAACATACATACATACATACAAACATACGTACAAACATACATACATACATACATACATACAAACATACATACATACATACAAACATACGTACAAACATACATACATACATACAAACATACATACATCCATACAAACATACATTCGTACATACATACATACATACAAACATACATACATACATACAAACATACATTCGTACATACATACATACATACAAACATACATACATACATACAAACATGCTTACCCATACTTACCAACCCCCCAGCCCCTGTGCCACTATTGGTGGCGTGGCGTGGCTTGGCTGGGCTCTCTGGATTTTTGTTCTGCCATTCGCAAGGAATGTGTGTTCGAGATGATATCGATTTGTGATTGTTAATTTTAATTGCTGAACTGAACGCTTGAATGGAAACACTTGTCTTTCTGGCGCACTGCTTATTGGTAGCCACAAATGTCAATCATGCAATAAATTCCATAATCGAATACCGTGTGCAATTACGACGCAGCCACCCACACCTACATATGTACATAGGTACCGAATATAAAACACAATCTGAAATGTTGCAATTCATATATGTATATATTTACATATGTACATTCATACAAGTTGATACACAATTTATTTAAATCGTTAGATTAAACTTGTCAAACTGTCCAGCGTTTGGATTGTCCTGTCAATTTCAATCATATCAAATTTTGTTGCCGGAGCTGCTGCTAAAGTAGCAATCAAATATTTTATCTGCACAACGTGTATTGATAACTTACTTGGTACCTTAAATTACGCTCTTAAATAATGCATGTAATGCATTAAAGAGAGTAGAAGGAGAGCTACAGCAGAGAGCAGAGCAGAGCCAGCCGCGGAGATTCAGCCGAGATTCAGGCGAGTTCGGCTTGTGCAATCAACGTGATTTGATACCATCAATAAAAAGAGAATTAAACAATATCTTGCATGCATATAATACTAGATACATATACATACATATATAATGTTCGTACAATATGCGTTTCCGTGTTTTTCTTTCACCCTCTTAGCTTACTCAACCCAAAGAAGTACGAATCAAGGCGATCGCAGACCCAGAATCAGGCCATTAGCACGATATGCAACGATCGGACCAATCAACAGAACAACTCCAGTGGTGCCGGTGGCAACGGGACTGCTGCTGCTGTCGGTAGTGCTGGCGGCGGCGGTGCCGGGGGCGGTATGCGTGGTACAGCGGTGCAGTATTCGCCCCGCTCCTACTACGAGTCAAGTCGGGAGAAGCGTGGAATTCAGGTAAAGACTTATATGGCCGAGGGCAATGGTTATAATCAACGGTCGGGCAGCACAACGCTTTACAGTAAGGTGGGTAAACAAAATACATTTTTTGAAACAAAACAAAATCTTCGAAAAACTTCAAACCAAATAAAACTCATTGAAAAGAGCAAGCAAATTAATGCAAAGCCAAAACAAAAACCAAAAACAGATTCCCATTACATATATCTATGTATCCTATATCTATTGTATCTAACTAATATACCTAATATATATCAATATATACTATACCCCCTAGTTATCCAGATGGCGACAGCAATCCCAAACGATCACTCGTTCCCTCTTTGGTGCAAAAATGTCTCCCTCTCCACTCTCCACTCTCTTTCTCCCTTCATCTCTGTCTCCTATTCTGAGCTTTTTATGGCTAATGGGGGATTGCTGGCGCCACCTGTTGTTTGTTATTTTGATTAGCTAATGTTGTTGTAATCGTAATTGGTGTTTTTATTCTTTTTAAAACGTAACTGTAACCGTTAACCGTTAACTGTTGTTTGTTTCTGTTTGTTTGTTTCCGTATCTTCTTGTTTTTGTTTTTCTCGCTTCGAGCGCGCTCGATGATTTCCGCCTCCTTCCTGTTCTCTCTTACTTTGGATCTCCTTTAGTTGCTCATTTATCATTTGCTCTAATCCCCATACCGCCCGACCCCCAGCCAGACCAACTTTTAATTATTTTAATAACTAATAACTACCAAATCGATTCGAGTGTACGAGTGTAAATATAGTACTACGGGTGTGCAGTGAGGCTCTATTGAGCGGACAGATTGAACACAAACAAAAACGGGAAAACCTTAATTCTTGCAACCTTAACACAAGGTCGTCCGCAGGGGTAGTAGCCACTGCCCGACCAGCATTGTGCTCCTGTCTAATTTCGGCAGGCTACATGATTTTCAGAGCTTGCATTTTCCAATATGTTTTATGCATACTATGTGCGAGGGCCCTGTAATAATAATAGATATTGGTGCTGTCTCCTCATTGGGGAATTATCGTCCATCTGCTTCCAAGTTGTAATCCAATCGAGAAGATATCGATTACTATGAATGCACAAAGGGGAGAATTTAGAGCAGACTGCGGAGACTTGGTACTTTTTTCTTCTAAAATACAAACAAATGACGGAACTCGTGCACTTCAAAGTTGATTTTTAATTGAAAAGCTTGACTGTATTTTGGATTTCAAAGTGAATCAGGATATGGATGGATGGATTACCGTACAAAAGATGTACATTTGTATGTAATTATATCCTTGGGGCCCTACGTGTCGTGCCACCATTGCTAGACCTGCACCTTACCTCTCTCCCTCTGTTTCCCAACACTCTACACTGCAAACATTAAGTTCATTTTTTGTTGGCTGCTGCACTCACATACGCTCGTATTTTTTTGTTTCTCTGCTTTTGTGCTTTTCTTTCTGCTTTGGGCTAGAAACCAAATTCGTTCCCTTCCTGCACTTGCCCCTTCCCGCTGCTTATCCAGGGGGAGGCTTGGCGGACGATTAGTTATTTAGTGCCACACCCATTTCAGGACCATTGTAAGACCAAATGATTCGCACACAAAGACCAGTCCTCCACACGCACACCGCACACCCTTCCTCGCTCTCTCTACTTTCTTCTGCTTTCTCTGCCCTCTGCCCGTGCTAACGCTGTGGCTTTTGCCTCTCGATTTGGCTCTCCTTCTTTGCAAGAGCATATAGCCAAGCCCACATATATAGTACCTCCCCCTATATGTACCATAACATTGTAAAATACCTTAACATGTTTCCTCCATCCATGTAAAATTCCTTGGTCCTCTACTTAGTTGGTTCCATTTTTAGAATATTTTTCTCGCCTAACACAAATAATATTTCTGGATTATTTGGAATGCACCTCAATTTCCGTGACTGGTCGGAATAATTTCTGTCTGATACTATCTGAAACGATTATACGATTTCCTAGACAAATACCAAAGGATATAAAAAAGACTTCTTAAAGTAAAGTGAACCTAATATTAATCATCAATTTGTAAAGCTAACATTTTCATTAAATAAATGAAGTAATGCTCAGAGAGTTGTGCTGGAAATATCTTTACAATTGAATTATCCAAAACTAAAACGGATCGAATCGGAAACTTTCTATAATAAAATCAATATTAAAATAAATAATATGCTAGTCATGGGCAAATGTTTTATGTTGTATGGTAGAATGTTACACAAGCAATACATACATATGTATGTATGTAGGTTTTTCTGCAAACACCCAGCCATATATGCCGACCGCTGAAATGTTGAAAATCCATGCAATGAAAACCCGATAATGCATAGTGAAGCAATGAAATAAAATTTCGTTCGCATAAACTTGAGTTACCGATTTAAACTTGATGAAAAGTAAAATGAAGTATTTGCCGTGTAAAAATCAATGCGTATCAATCAACAGAAAATGCTGAGAGCCTCCAAGCAAACACCGGACTGGACCGTCCAGAGTCCAGGTCAAAGTTTCTGCTGGGTCCCATGGGACCTTTCATCGGACTCCGAGAAGTTTCGACTGGTAGAGGGATAACTTCGGCTAGCCGTAGCGGTTTTAGTTTTCACTTAGTTTCTTTTTTCATTTGTTGTTTTCACCACCGCCTTGCCCCATCCCCACCCAACACCGCCTAGCAGCACCAGCACCTTCCCCCCACCTGCCACCATTGCATGCATGCGGATGGACCTGTTGAGTTGCCGTAATCCCGTAATTTTTGCGTTGCGATATACACCTACATATTTAGTTGACCCGCTTCCGTTTGGGCATCTTAACCCGTTTCTGTTACCGTTTCGTGTTCTACCAGAAGGGCGGCCCGCTTTGGCCCGCTCCGTATTGTATGTATGTACGTACATGCTCGAGAACTGTCGTGTTACATCAGTACTACATACATAAATATATATAGAACCATATAGCATACATACTTATATCGAAAAGAATTGGTCGAAACCCGAAACAAAGCAAAAGATAAGACAATGAAATAAAATGAACAAAAAAACTCTACACTTACTGCAAGCACCGAGAAAGGTAAAAACTATCTAAAACCAAAACCAAAAACAAAACAAAACAAAAATTTTATTCTAATTTATTTTTGATTCATGATTGATCGATTGATTGCTTGATTGATTGATCTTGACTTGCCCCCGAGAAGTATTGATTTCAACTTCTTGTCTATTCCTCTTATGATTTCCATTAAAATACATTTATATTTATGTCAAAATTTGGTACTCTTCTCCCTCCTTTGCACTCCCAGTCTTTTTCTCGCTCTCTCTCAAACTTTACCGTTCTGTCGTTCTATCTCTGTCTCTCTCACTTTCTCACTACACTAGCAAATTCGAAACAGTAAGAACAGCAGGAATCCATCCTTTCGATGGTTCCCTGGTCAACGCACATAATATGATGGCTATGATGCATATGATCACCAGAAAAGGAGCGTACAATTGAAACAATATTCTTGATAATAAAAAAAATAATAATAATAATTTTACGACTTCGTTATGGTAAGGAATGTATCGTAGACTTCCACCAGAACTCACAAGCATGATGCCGTTGTCCCTAGATTCCCGTTAGAAACTTAGCCAAGGCACTCCTTGTATAGGTTTTGGTAGGAAAGGGGATGCATTAATCCATTAGGGAACAAGGATGGGCCCACAATGATAATTTCCCCTGTCCTTACACTATTCTACCACGGAATCGAATCTGCAAGGGTAATCAGCGTTTCGTCCCCATTCTCGATTTCCCTTTTGACTGTTTTCGTTTTGCAGTGCTTTTTTCGATACTTTCCCCATTCACGTTCTCCTTCTTTTTTCTCTCTCCCCCCTCCCAATGAACTAAGTAAAAACTGATATTCCACCGTGGCCTCTCTCCGGTTTTTTTTGGGCACACTTTGGGGGAGGGGACTCTCCCCTCCATTCTGGCCCCTCCGCGGCGGGAATTCCACATACATACACACACACACACACACCGACACAACCCCCATTATCCCTCATTCCTACATTTTGTGTACAAATTTTATGTTTCCCTCATTTTATCTCCTTCTTTTCGTTCATTTCCGTCTACATCTACATACATCTATATCTACGTCTACGTTTATTTCTCCTACTTTCTATCCGTTTTTTGTATTATTTTTTTTGTTTTGTTTGGAAACAAACGCAACTAAATGTAGGCCTAAGTCTGTGTCGATCTCTGCTGCTCCCTTTCGCCACCTGTCAATCAATAACTAATCTCCGTCTCTACGACAATCCCTTCGATAATCCACAGCTATCGCCCGGTCGAGAGTGCTCCGACACGGATCTGGAGCCGCCACCCGCCTCACAGAGCCAAGACTGCGAGCCGACGCCGCCGCTGCAGCGCCACAACTCGAGCAACTTCTACCTGCCGCAGGTGAGCGACGGCGGTGGCGTAAACGGCAGCATAGCCACGGGCATGCCCAACTCTCAGAGCACAGCCGGAGGCGGAGGAGGCGACTCGCCCCGACACATGCGCCTCTACCATCCGCGCCACAGTCCGCACGCGCGGCCCAGGTGAGCAATTGGGTTGGTCACTTGGACTATGTGGTCTATCTATCTGTATCTCACTCTCTGCGGAGCCACTACTGATCTCTGTTGTTTCTGTTGCTTCCCCAGGGGTCTGGAACCACAGCGCGGCTACACGAGCGATGCTCTATCGCCGGATCATCCCGGTGGCGTTGGCGTCAGCATTGGCTATGGCGTCGGCGTCAGTGTCCAGCAGCAACAGGCTATAGCGGCGGCAGCGGCTGCGGTGGCGGCGGCAGCAGCACAAAATCAACGCAGCGGGACGACAACTGCCACACCCACCATGCAGCAACGAATTAAGCCGCTGGGCGTAGCAACGCCCCTGGTGATGGCGAGTCCAGTGCGAAGGTGAGTCTCTCCATTCCCCCCTCTCGCTCCTTGTGCTATTCCTCGCTCACCCAGTGCTCCCCTCGCTCCCCTTCTTTCTGCTTCTGTGGTTTGTTGTTGTTCTTGTTATATGTAAGCTCCCCTTTAATCGCTTTAATCAGATGTGCGTGTGCGTGTGCGTGTGCGTGCGTGTGTGTGTGTGCGACTCGTGTGCGTGCTTGTATGTTTGTGTGCTTGGAGTAGTTGTTGCTGCAGATAATCAATCGCCGATTCGCGTTTGTTTTGCTCCTGCATTTGCTTTGCCCCTCTCGTTTCTTGTGCTTCCACTCCTCTCCCGACTGACTGACTGACAAAAGCAGCGAGCTTTGGAAGCTCTGTCGCTCTCTCTTTGGTATGCATTTCCGTTAGCTCAGCTCATCGCCCGCTTACTCTTTTCTATGCGTCGATTAACGGAACTTAGTCGCTGGCTCTCCTCTCCCGCAACTCACTTTGCTGAAGATTACCGCCTCATTACCGCCTTCATTTCGTTCGTCTCCTATCGCTCTTCTCTGCTCTCCCGAAAGAAATGTATCGCTCTCTGTCTGCCCTCCCGCACTTAATATTATTCCAAGGTTCCACCACAGCAGCGCATTCCCATATGAATGCGGAAGGCTCCCTTAAAATGCCCATGAGCTCCATAAGCTAAGCCAAGTATTACTTATTGAAAATTTGCCAGCTGTATTCATCTGTACCATTTATGTATGGTATTTAATGGTCTAAACATGTAATTCGCGGCATCCATATCAAATATCTCTTTTTCCCTGATATGAAATCGGGCTATTAGTTGAGCCTTGGCGTGGGCATACATAGAAAGAAGCGAGATGGCTGTACTCTTTCCTATTCGGCTGAGAAATGGCTGCGACAGAGATGGCCATCGGTTGAACGACCCATGCTTTGTAGGCCACCCTTTTGTATCCTCCCTTGCGTGTGCCCATTCTCACTCTCATTTGGTTTCTTTCACCAACTTTTTATATCATGATTTTTCTGTGTGCACCTTACCTTTATGAACTAATTATTTTTCCAACTTTTTCTTTTTCGTTTTTTATTTTTGTTTGTTTTCTTTTAATGTATGTGCATATATTTGTGTACGAAGTCAATACTCAAATTCTGAGAACAGTACTAATTCCTAAGCTTAAGCTTAATGAGAACCGAAACCGCGATAAAACCAACTGACAAACAACAAAAACCAATCAATGAAACGAAAGCAATAAATCTAATATTAATACAACTATGTACGTCAATGAAAAGATAAGTAAAATCCCCCACAAGGATCAAATGATATCGCTAAGCGAAAGCGGAAGGTGAAACAACGCTGAGGGAATCACAGAAAATACCTGAAACATAACTGAAACTGAAAAACATCAAGATCAACTGAGCCCCAGAACCTGGGACAACTCAGTTCTAGTTCCAGGGGTACCTACACACATACATATATAAATATGGTTCCACTTAGCTCCTACACACACACACACACACAAACACAGACACAGACACAGAGCAAACCACAAGTCAAAGCCGTTGTCATCGTTGTCGTCGTCGTCTTCGTCGTGGTCATCGTCTTTCTTTCTCTTTTTATCGCTCTTACCAACTTGTTTTACCAACTACTACTACTACTTTGCAACCATCAACACGAGCCACGTGCTGCACCCTGTATAAACCTTCTCTACTATTACACTCCTTGTGCCCCGTGCCAAATGCCACGTGCTGCACCCTGTAACTACCTTCTACTACCACACTCCTTGTGCCGTACGTGAGGTGAGGTGAGTTTGATTTTCTTTCTTCTTTCTATTTTGTTTCGTTTCGTTTCGTTCATTTTCGTTGATTCTTCAATATTGTCAGAGTTACTTTATTCTGTTTTGTTTGCGTCCGCTTGTTACCCTTAGTCATACACACCCACACCCACACCCACATCCCCATGCATATGTACATATGTATATGTAACCCACGAGCAGCAGGGAGAGCCATCTCATCTCTTTTTGATCGTTTTCCTGGAACCAGGAACAACCATCCATAGCAGCCATTGCTGAATCGCAATGTGTAGCCTTGCTATGGCAAGACTCGTGTTCTTTCTTGCATATTGCATACCATTCTGTAAATTGAAAAGTACCTGCAGCTGCAGTTACCGAAGCATACTACATACTACATACATGTACATGTACATGTACATAAATTCGGGTATTCTGGTGGGTTTGATTTCGTTGGACTTAAAGCATCTTGAATAGAAATATGTGACCTATCGGCAACGGATAACTCCACAAAGTACTTACGTAGGATATGTAGCAAGAAGTAGGCCTTCGCTTGGGACGATCCAAGTGGTCGGTCAGAGAGCTAGTCCGACTGCCCCAAGTGTCGCTCGAACTGATTTCATTTGGGCTGGCTATTCCATACAGTTTTCAACACAGAACGGAACTCAAAACCGAGCTCTCCCCAAACTTTGCGCAAAAACAAAATTCCAGTTTTTCCAATTGTTAGTTTACATATTTGGCTTTTCACACTTTTCCCCGACCGAACTACAAGTTTGAATAAATTTTCCGCGTAAATCGTACAACCGGATTCGGCGCCACTTACTCTATCCAAAATACACTCAAACCAAACAACCATCGAACCACGAGATGAACAACGAACAGCGAGCGAACGCGTTCGACAGTCGGCGAAACCAGTCGCGACTCCGGGCCCTGAGTCTGCTTGGCAGGAGCCTATCTGGCCGGCGCCCTCACGTGGCGGGCGGCCTTGGCTCGAATTTGGGTCGCGTGCAGGGCGGAGGCGCAGAAGTCGACGACCTTGACTTTGAGGCAGCTGGCGGCGACAGTGGAGTTCAGCCAGGCGTTCGGGCCTCAGTGCTTAACAACGCCCTGATTCAGTTGCAGTCAGCCACCCGCGGACAGAGTGCCAGGTGGATGCGGAGTTTAATGGACCAAACGCACTACACTAGAGGTGGATTCCGCAGCAGCTGGGAACCAAGCCAGGGAGAAGAAGCGGTGGCGTCATCTACATCAGAGAACCACGAGGATTCTTACGACGACGTCAACGAGAACGAGAACCAGAACCAGAACGCCAACGACCTCGGGGACAGAATGGATCAGAGCGCTGGGCAGGCGCCAGTCGCTTATATGCCTGCTTACAGCGGAAGACGTGGAGTGAGTCCAGGACTTATGTTCGCCCAAGGGGGCATTCCCACGTCCAAGCTGGACTACATCACACTGGTCGGCTTCGTACTGGGGTACCTGGCCTCGTACATCCTGTTCCTCCTGTGCTGGTTCTTCGGCTGGCTCAAGGAGCAGATGAAGCTGACACGCAGGCGCCTGCTGGGCCACGACAACCTGTTGGAGTTTTTCGACATCGAGGACGAATCCCGCCACTCCATCCAGACCAAGCTCATCCTGGCGCCGCTCATTCTCTTCTCCATCTTGCTCTACGGTCTGGTCAACATTCTGCACGTCGCGGTCAAGGTGGTGCGCTCCGATGTGCCGCGTACTGTGGTTGACTTTGTTCAGGCCGTGGCCCATAGCGGCCTCCAGGGTACCATTGCCGGCATAAGGACCGGGAGTAAACGCTTCGCCTAGCTGGAGGAACTGGAGCGGACCGCCCGTCCCACACACCAGATTCAAGTATGCCCACCATCTGTTCCACTGCTCTCGCTCTTTCTCTGTCGTCAATGTGTGGGCTGTGGTTCATCGCGAGGAATGGGAATCGCTGTTCATTGACTAAACCAACCACCCAACACCCAACACCAAACCATAGCCCACACAGGGGGTGTTGGGCTGCCGATTGCCAAACTGCGAGGTGGTGCTGACATTTATCATGTGTAACTGTAATATCAACAAAAAAAAAAACAAATACTGAACTGCATAAAGCTCACCATTCAGGCATATTTATACTTATATTATATTCCCCGTGTTTATCGATTAACGTGCGATTAACCTATCGATCACGCAGGCATGCATTCACACATACCACTATAGCGCCACCATACATGCATATATAACTCCTACGAAACCCAACAAACAGATCGGATGGTGAATGTCATTTGTGTGCAGCAGTCTGTTCGATCTGTTCGGTGCATTCGCCAGTCTCTGGTTTTTCAACATTATGTAACCTGAAGGGGGTAATACCAAAGCTGGTGAATGCGATCTAAATAAATAACCGTTGCTTAATTTCCATCCACATTAACTACTCTACTGTATACACGTGCAATTGAATGAAAAATACGCATAAATATAAAAACATAAAGCGCACAGATTGGTACATATATTATATACATATGTCCATGATTAGTTGAGAGTACGAAGCTCCAATTTATTAACCACTCGGAGATTAGCAATTTGCGGATCGAAGCTATGTATTTCCGTACGTACTGGACTTGTGCAGTCTGTCAACTGTCATCTGTCATCTGCCATCTGTAATCTGTAACCATTTTTTGTGTCAATCTCTCGCTGTAATTCTCTGTATATTTTGCACGTGACTGCAACTGTTACTAACTGGATCTCCTACTGAAACTGTACTTGAAACTGTTTTTTTCTAGTGACAGAAACACAAAAGTGTGTGAATCATATCGAATCGAATCGAATCGAATAAAATGTTCTGTTAACCAACCTTCCTAATGATCGCTGCTAACTCTTTTGGCGGAGGAGATTCGACCTGCCACGCCCTCACACTTACGTACCCCCACCCATAAATATGCACACATCCCTGAAGATGAGAAAGATTCATGTGCGTTCACGTACTCGTACATCCATAATGCATTTGTCGCCTTCCCATCGATCATGTTCGCCTAACAGTTAGTCTAACGTTGCGTTCTGCGCCCCTCCTGTGTGCTCCAATTTGCAATTAACGTTTGCTATGTACATCCCTGTCCAGATCTAACCCGGGCACGCCTACGCAGCCGCGACGTCCCGATTTCATTGGCCTGAATGCCCAGGCTGCGGCAGTAGCGGCGGCAGCAGCGGCCCAACAGCAACAGCAGCAACAACAACAGCAACAACAACAGGCAGCAGCGGCGGCTGCAGCGGCAGCCTACTACGAGTACACCAGCGGACTGCCGCCTCAGCATCCCCAGGCGCCGACCATCCAGCAGCAGCAACAGCTCCTGCTCCAGCAGCAGCGCGTTCTAATGCAGCATCAACAGCAAGGTTAGTACCCTCTGGCCACAATAGAAAGAAGCAGCAAACTAATATGGCTCTCTCTCTCTCTCTCTCTCTCTCTCTCTCTCTCTATGTTCTTGCAGCGTTGCAGCAACAACAACAGCAGGCTGCATCTCATGCGGCACATCCGCAGCACGCAGCATTGGCTCAGACCGCCTACGGGGGCAGCCCTCAGCGCCGCTTCCTCTCCGAAGGGGAACTGGTGCGGCAGGGACAGGGCGGCGGCAACGAGCTGTCCTACGCCCGCTCCAACAACACCGTGGATAACATACGCGAGCTGGCTGGGAGCCCCCAGCGCGGTGTCTACATGTGGAAGGACACCTCACCAGGTTTCAGCAGCAACAGCGCCGGCGGGCCCGTCGGACAGCAACAACAACAGCAACAGCAGGCCACGGTCAGCGGCATTGGCAGCAGTGCTGGCACGCTGCCGAGCAGCGGCAATTCGTCCGGTGTGGTGCCGCACGCCCAATACATTACGGCTGGAGGAGGGACGCATCCGCTCATCATGACGCACTCGCGTCTGCAAGACTACGCAGTTCAGCAGCAACAGCAGCAGCAGCACCAACAGGCAGCTGTGGCTGCGGCGGCAGCAGCTGCCTCATATCATCGCTCGAACCCCACGAGTCCCACGACCATGCCGCAGTCCTCCACAGCACAAACGGGCTACGTCCTGCGCTACGGGGGAGCTGCCGGAGGCAGCAGCGGTAGCATTGCCAGCGTCTCGGCCAGTGGACCGTCAATAGGTGGGCCAGTCGGGGGCGGTGGGTATCAGCCAGCCCTCCGCGGAGGTGTCGCCGTCTTCCCGCCTAATCCTCTGGTCGGTGTCAATGTGAGCAGTGCAGCGGGAGCCCTGCAGACGCAACCCTCGCCACAAATCAAGCGCAAGCAGACCCCGACACGGCCCATGAGCTTTGTGCGCGCCCTCGAGATGACCGACTCCATGGAGATGCAGTCCCTCGAGCACCAGCAGCACAACAACGGCGGCCTGCCCAGCGGCGTGGCAGCACCCGCCATCGCGTCTCAGCCACAAAGCAATGCGCATCTCCTGCAGAATGCCTCCAATTCGGCAACGCCCGATCGGGCCAGCATCTACGACATGAACTACGAGATCTCCGTATAACCCGTGGTTGTGCCCGTTCTCCTAATGCCACCCGCCTCCAAAAGCAGTAACCTCACTGCCCCAGCTGCAGCCACAATCGCATCCGCAGCCTCAGCCCCAGCTCAACCAACTGCTGCTCCCAACCAGCAGTTCTTCTGCCAACATCAGCATCAGCAGCCACAGCCGGAGCAGCAGCACCACCACCAGCACCAGCAATTGTTGGAGCCGGCGGCCTATGCCTCGGTTCCAGTGCTGCCCGTAAATCAGCAGAGCAACGGCTTTGGCAGCTACCATCACAATTCGCATCAGCATCCACACCATCCGCAGACGCAGACGCAGCCGCAGCAAATTCACAACCAAAACCACCAGAACCCTCAAATGCCGAACAAACGCAAATTTTCAACCTTCTTTTGAGTTGGTCATCGAGCCCAGTTTTTTTTTTCGTTGTTTTTTTAATTGTATATATCTAAGTTATATACATATGTACATATATACCAGATATGTGTGTATATGGACCGCTTGCGTACTGCTGTTGTAGCTATAACTATTATTATTATGTATTTCTATGCTCTGTTTTTATGATTATTCGGTTTTACACGATTCATTTGAGAATTGATTATTTTCGTCATTCTTTAGCATTTATATGGTCAACGTAGTAGGAAGTCAGCAAGGAAATATCAAAAAGGAACCAAAACAAAATACGAACGTGCACATGAACATGAAAAGAAAAGAAAGGCTAAAATTGAGATACTTTGTACACGTATGCGTATGGCTTTTACAGGGCGTTTCATAGCTGTGAGAATGTTGAACGATTAGATTAGGTAGATGATCGTATTTCTACTGGCTAAAAGCAGACTAAACTCTGTGGGTACTTCTTAGGTTCTCTCAGAACTTGGTCTGCTTGGTCATATGGTTGTGTAGCGAACTGTACATCTGTACTGTACATAAATACAGAGTACATACTCTTAAAAGTCGCCAAACGAAAAAGCAAGTTTACGTATATTTAAGGCAGTGTCTTAAGAAATTTTAGTCTATGTATACCATATATATGTATGCCATATAATGTATATATAGGAGTAATATATATGTGTAACTCATGTGCTATGATAGTCCGTTTTTTGCTTAGAATCTAGAGAGTATAAATGTCTATACTATATCTGTGTATCCCAAGTGTGCAGGGCGTTTCATACCCAAAAGAAAGGCGTGATTTCTGTGAATTTGATCATAATGCATACATACAATATGTATGTATGTATCTGTTCATATCGATTCAGACCAGACCAACTTGATTTTAAATTGGCATCACTCGCAAAATTTTATGGAAAGGAACTGATTTATTTTGACCAATTGAACCCCTCCAAATCTCCCTTTCAATACCTGACTACACCTAATAAATCACAACATACGATAGCATAGCTTAGCCTTCATTCGATAATGACCAATTCGAAGACCAACTAATTTTTAAAACTGTTCTATTCAAATGTTCACTAAATGTCATATGGAACTTAATTTGGTAGGGGAGTGTCAGGTATCGTGGCGTGTAAGGTATGGTGGCGGACATCTGAAACGCATTACCACTGTGGTCGATGTCTTTTATCGTGCTGACATTTTATATGCAGTATTATTATTTTTCTAAATTCGCGCCGTATGACTGTGACACCATCAAAAATATTGATTTTTGAGAGAGAGATGCAAAAAACAAAGTGTTTGCCACCATACCTTGCACTCCCCTACATAAACTTCGCAAAGAATTGATTCCTCTTCAAAATAGTTATTTTGCATTAAACTTCCTTTCATAATTAATTCTATTTAATACATGACGTTCGATTTTAAAATATCATTCAGCTTACAAATGTATTTTATTAGTTTTTTGTTCTGAAAATTTCCTATTCTTTCATTGTTCGAAAAGTACTTTATCAATAAGAAAGCCAGACACCCATTTTCACACTTCTATTTAAAGTAATGATTTCGCTAACAAAATGCAATCTATAGCTTTATAGATATATGTACATACATGTATCTTAACAATCCATAGAAAGTTGAAAATAAACATTTGAGCTTCCCTACAGCCCTGAAGTGCACTGTATATGGTAACAGCCAACTCGCAGATTAAATTTCTCTATTATAATTTGAATTTGTTTTAAATTTAAGAAAACCCGAATCCGCAACCGCATTGGTCTGTGTGTAACTTTAATGTCGTCCAATTCAAATAAGTTTTGATTTTCGTGTACATATGTATGTAAGTTTATGGGGTATACGTACGTAATACGTAACAGTACTGTGTATGTACTGTGTATCTATATGAGATATGTTATGCGTGGTGGAGTGCAAACACAATTCTTTGGTTCAAGCTTCCAGACTATCCATGTACGTACCAATATACTATATATATATACGTACGTACCATATGTACATGATTATATGTATATACATAGAGTTAAACTTTGTTGTTATGTTTTTAAGATAACTTAGCTTTTATACCGATCTGTGTGTAGGTAATTACATATGTATGTCCAGTCGTGTCCGTGTAGATCGATTTCAAGTGCGGAAAGCTGATCCATTTATTTTGTTCCATTATAAATTAACAATATATTTATTTATGATTTGCATTCATTTTGATTCAGTTAAAAGATCTGAACAAATTCAAGATATCTAGAAATTGTAATAAAGTTCGCCAAGCACACACCTGGTCCAAGGGGAATCTGCGACTGTATGTATGTATCTACTTATATGTTTGTATTCTGTTTGTTTACTGCAGCATTTGGCGAAAGATACATATACACATATATACATAGATAGATAGATGTTTAAGGAAACATCCTCAGACCCAACCACCCCCTCCCTGCCACTCACCACATTGATCATGAAAATTTGCAAGGATTAAATCTTGTATAGACTATATAAAGGATCAAGAGTATGTATAGCTATATATACCATATTTTAAGCGTTTTTGCTAACATATTAATTCATGAATTTGCAACAATATTTAATATTCATACAGAAATGCATATACATACATACATACATACATCAAAAAACGAAAACCAAGAAAAATATAAGTAATGTAAAATGTACAGATGCGGAGAACGAAATTGTTTTAGATTTTTATACCAAATTTTATTAATGCGAAACCGTGAATTGTTTCATTTTTGTATTCCTGCCCCCTACTCCTTCCCCCGCCCTCTCCTCCTTCCCCGGCCCGCAATGCTAGTAGGAAAATAGTATATAGAGAGAGAGACCGAGAGAGAGCGGCTCAAAGAGAAGTCCCCGTCCAGGACGGAGCAGAAGCACGATGATCCTGATCCAGAACCTGATCCTGGATGCTGACGGAAATCCACGAGCTCTAAATTGAATTTTTTTTTTGTATTCAATACTTAAATATGTAATTTGTAAATGATATGACAAGTAATCAAATAGCAAACAGAAACAGCAAGGCAATTAATAAATAATACAAATAATAATGCAAATGCATACCGTGTATTTATTTTACACTTCAGATACGGTTCCTGCCGTAAGTACTCGGCATAAGTACGCATCATACTACATACATATGTATGTAGGTACATATACACCCCCTCCACACCCGAACATTAAAATGTCATTCCTGGGAGCTAGTATTAGACGAGCGCAATATCAAACGGTGTATAAAACAAAACTAGAATGCTGTGAGAAGATCTAACCATCTGCTTACGCCCTCTTCTGTAGCATCAATCAATTCAATTACCAGTTCGTTTTTATAAATTGACTGTATTTTATATATTTACACTACACACTCGTATACGCAACAATTGATTTATAACAGATGCAATTCAGCTTAAGCAATGGTAAAAACTGAAATGGGAATAATTCACAAATAGTAGAACGAACATTTACATTTACCTAAATTCGGGATTGGGGATACCCAATTGCACTAAGTGACCCACCCGGTCCTAAAGCAGCGAGGAGGTGAAAATCTGCTGGAGAATGTGAGGTAGCTTGGTGAGGTCCATGCAGACGAAGCTCTGTCCCGCCGGCATTTCTGAGTTGATTCTGCGGGGGCGGGGAAGAAAGAGAAAATATGATCAGGCTTGGTATCTAATTAGAGTAAACAATAATCTCGACTCACTTGTCCGCCTCCTCGGCCAGGCTGCCAATGAATATGGAATAGCCCTTGACCTTGGGCTCGCCCCTTTTAAGGGCCACAGCCAGGTCTTTGGGCGCAATGCCGTAGCGCGAGAGATTCGCATCACTGAGAACCACAACAATGGCGTTGTCAAAGTCGTCCTCGGCGCCCAAAGTGGAGCAGGCCTCGCGCGCCGCCTTCACAGTGCTGTCTCCGGACCAGCAGAACTGCGAGTGGGCGTGCATCATGCGGATGGTCTCGAAGCGCTCCTTATCATTTTTGGGGGCACTGCCCACGTTTACGAATGGTATTTCCCAGCCTTCGCCGCTATGGCCGACGATGTCGTATACGATTTTCTTCTCGAAGCCCTCGAAGGCCTCCATTACCATGACCACGGCTTCCAGCTGTCGGTCCAGCCGGCCATCGTATCCGTTGAATCTGCAGCAAAGAAATTATCGACAAGTTTTGACAAAAGTCAAACTAAAAGTCAACACTGAGGTTTTCTACCTGTACATGGAGCCGGAGACATCCACAACGAGCTTGAGACGATTTGGCTTCTCTTGGACGTGGTCGGCCCAAGGGTTTGCCTCGGCCCGCCTCCTATAAATGTTCTTCTCGCCAGTGATGCCCTCCACCAGGCGTGTGTCGTCCAGCTCGCCATGCGTCTGATATTTCTGCCACTGGCGCTCCTTGCTTTTGGTCTGCATAGCCTCCAGGACGGCCTTCAGCTGCTGCACCTGCTTCCGGTTGGGTTCGCTGAACTGCGCGTACAACTTGTGGTCGTGGGCGGACATCTTGATTTCCTTAAGCTTCTCCGCGAAGGCCTTTCGGTTCATTTCGCGGGCCGCTTTTTTAATCTCCTCGGGAACGTCGGCTTTCTCTTCGTCGCTCAGCTGATGCACCTTGTGTCCCTTGTCGAGGCGGAAGGGTCCGCCCTTGCCGCCCAATCCGGCAGTGTCGCGACCCCCACTACCGCCAGCCCAGGTGTTCCCTCCCACGTGCGGCTCATTCTTGGGATCGATCTTCCCGAACTTCGGGCCAGAGACCCCGAGACCGCTATGCCGCTCCACCGATGCCTGCAGTGTCTTGCGCTGGCGCAACATTTGCACCTCGTCCAGAGCGTAGGCCTCGATGCCGTGCTTTGCCAGCACCTGAATGACTTGCTGCAGCGCCTCCGGCTGGTAGCGATCGAAGTCAAGCACATTGCCGACCACGTCCGCTATGCTCTCTTCGGGATAGCGCTCCAAATGCTTCACAATGCTGACGACCTCGCGGGTGGAGTACGGATAGTTGAGCATCCCCTCGTCCGCCAAGCTGCGCAGCTCCCCGAAGGCGTTCACCAGCGTACGCAGCGTCTTGGGGGGAACACTGGGGCCGTACTGCTGAAGCAGATAGATCTCTGAATCGGGTTGGGGATTGCTGATGGCATGGCAGCTGAAGACGTCGCCGAGGGCGGCGAAAAAGTCGTTGCCCAGGAAGGGGAAGCCGGGACGATTGGCCAGGACGATGAGCCGAAACTCTGGGTGAGTTTCGATGCAGTTGGGCACCGATCCAGCCGCGCCATGCGGTACAATACGCCGGCCGTCGGCCAGGACCATCTCCCCGCTCTCCACCAGAGTGCGCAGGATGCAGGTGACATTCACCGGTGCCTTGTCGGCCTCGTCTACCACCAGCACATGACCGGAGCGGACAGCCTTGACAAGGGCGCTGTCCTCATAGGCAACCTGGCCATCCTGCAGCGTCGACTGTAGCGTCAGGCTGTGCACAGTAGTGTCCCGGTGCAGCTGGATGTACTCGCGCGGGCGTTGCATTAGCTCCAGCAAACGGTCGATCAGCTTGTTCTTGCCCACGCCCTGGTTGCCCACGAGCAGCAAGTGCTCACCGATTAGGTAATCCTGCAGCAGGCGTTCCAGCAGCTCCACGTGCTGGGGCATCTCGTAGAACAGGGTGCTCGGCACCTTCGATTTTTGCGCCTGGCTGGGATTGCCCAGCTCCATCCGGGTCTCCCCAATCCTCAAGGTGTTCCCTTCAACACCAATCTGTCCGGTGGGTTTCTTCCTGCTCCTCTTCTCTGCACTGGGATGGATGCCCACCTGCTGCATGGCCTGCTCCAGGGCGGTACGCGACAGAGCCGGCATGAACCTGGCCAGGAATGTGTTCTGCAGCATCTCGTGCACGTCGCTCAGCTCACTGCCGGGATAGGCCACCAGACGACGGGCCAACTTGAGCAGCTGCCGCGTGGACAGTGTACCGGCCAGGCCCTGTATCAGCGGATCCTGCGAGGAGCGCAGCAGTTGGGCCAGCTTCAGCAGTTGATCCATTTGGGGGGGCAACTGGCCGCCGCAGAGCTGGGTGAGAAGCTCGTGCTCTTCGCTCTGGTGGAGTGGACGCAGCTCCTGGTAGAGGAATAAACTTAGCAGCTCGGGGGTGAGCCAATTCGGCTGCCCACTGCCTGGGCGAGGTGGCTCCGCCAAGGCAACAATGCGGAAGGCCTCGTGTATCGGCAGCAAACCTCGTTCCGTCAGCTGGGCGCTGGAGAGTCCTTGCTGGAGAAGGGCCTGGTAGCGGTCCGGGCGAAGCATGGTGGTGCCGTCGCACAGCAGCAGCTCACGGTCGTGAATGAGGCTGCGGGAGACAAAAATTGAGTTGAGAATTTCCATTTGCTGATTAGCGATTTGCGAGGGGTCTGTGGGGGTCTTATGCCTACCGCTGCAGTATTGTAGCTGTGCTCTTGTGGAGGCGATGCACTCCATTGAGCACCACCACATTTCCGGCCTTGGCTGCTCGCACTAGAGGCGAGTCCCGCCAGATAGTGTCGCCCTGGGGGCTGGTGATGCGCTGCTGCACCAACTCCCGAGAGGTCATGTCCTCGTACAGCATCATGGGCTCGGCAGTTTGGCGGAGTAGGCCAAGCAGCTGCTTGGTCAGGGTGAGCTTGCCTACGCCCTTCTCGCCCATTAGACACACATCTCCGACGGCATAGGCCTGCAGCAGCGACGCCAAGGCCTGCCGCTGGTGTGGCAGATCCACAAAGTTGCTCGACGTGGCAGGCGTGACGCCTCCGGGCACGATCAGTTTCAGGTCATCCAGCTGGAGAGTGACGAGATGGTCAGCCTGGGCGCTGCTTGTGATACTTTTGATGGTCTGCCCGGGCAGGCGCTGCACATGCAGGCTAGTAAGAAGCTCCTCGACGCGCTTCTGCTGGTCGGGCTTCAGCATGGACTGGTACGGATATATGCGCGTGATGACATCGTGCAGGCTGAGGGCGGGATTGGCCTCCTGCAAGCGGAAGAGAGATGAAATTGATGGCAGCTGGAGCTCCAAGTACCTGAGACATGGGCTAATTACACACCAGCATCTGAACGCCCAGCTGAAGATTGTGCAGGGGGAAGTCGGGCAGCTGGAGACTGTCATCTGCCGTCTGCAGGGTGAGGGCAAACGTGAGGAGCTGCTTTAGGTGATCGCCAGGCACAGCCGGTGCCACCTGCTGCAGCTCATCGTAGAGCTCGCCGTAGGAGTAGCTGGTCACGTTGCGGGACTGGAAGCGAGAGCGCAGAGGGGGATCTAGGGGGGTTCCCTTGTACTTGTGTGTGGGCAGACCCAAGGCCACCACTCGGAACTGCTCAGAGACGCGCAGGAGGCCCCACTCATCCAGCTGCTCACGCGAATGCTTCTGCAGAGTGAAAAAGGTAGGTGGGCAGGCATTAGAGTGGCGGAAGTATGTAAGTCGAGTGTTGGTTGGGCACGCACCTCCAGTAGCTTATCGTAGCGTTCGGGCGCCATGAGGAATTTACCGTTTTCCAAATGCATCTCACGGTTTTCCAGCAGGTTGTTCAGAATGGGCAGCACATTACGCTCCGCGTGCTCCACCCCATCGAGGATGAGTACGCGTCCGTGGATGGCAGCCCGCACGGCTCCCTGGTCGTGGTAAATGGCCGCCTTGTTGTGGATCTCGCGCCGCTGCTTGAGGTCGCTCTCGGTGGTGTCGCGACTCAGTGCGACATACTCCACCTCGCGCTGTGTGAGCTCTAGGAACTGCATGGCCAGCTGGCGACGCAGCGGACCGGGCTGGCCCAGCAGGAACATATCCTGCTTGAGAGCATCCTTCTGCAGCATCCAGCGCAGATGGTGCAGGGCAGATTGCGTCAGCTGAAGGGTACCATCCGCCGCGTATTGCACTGTCAGATGGAACAGACAGATAAAATACCAATTGACCTTTGATCAGGTGTGGGATCTAATCCGATCCGATCCGATCTGATGCTTACCGTATTGCTGGGGCACCAGGTGCGGCTGCTTCGGCTTGGTTAGACGCACGCTTACATCACCGATGGTCAGACGATCGTCCTCTTGTGTCTTCGCTTGGTCGCTGGCGCCTCTAGGCGCGGTGCTCGCCAAGCTGCGTGTCCAGTGGCTGGGCCGTTGGAGCCTGTGACGCAACAAGTGGCCACTGCGGACCTGTAAATTGGCTAGCATAGCAGCTCCACGGTAGGCAGCTGTTTTGCGTTGATCGGGGGGGAGGGCTAGCTGGGTGTTTGGGGAAAAGTCGCCAAAGCAAGCGTTAAATAGTAAGCCCGCGCGTGTTAACGATTCGATTGCTGTGCCGAAGAAGCAACAGCTGGGAGAGCAGTGTTGCTCTCTCGACAGTTATCGATACTATCGATACCCTCCCTTGGAAACAACCACACGCCATCTTACGCATCTCTAGCAAGCAGCTGTGACAACCAAACGAGCAGCGCATTTCTGGAAAAACATTTACAATTAATTGTGTAAGCTGCCGCTGAGCTAAAAAACAAACCCGAAATATGACTACAGCCGCACGTCCCACGTTTGATCCCGCCCGCGGTGGCTCTGGGCGTGGCGAGAAGGATTTGAGCGCTTTGAGCAAACAGTACTCGAGTCGCGATTTGCCAGGCCACACCAAGCTGAAGTACAGGTAAGCAAGCGCATTGGAAAAAGCACCCATGGGTCGCTGTTGGGTCTGCAATTTGCTGTTTTCACTTAACATTTGGGACCGTCAATCATTCGCAGGGAGCCAGGACAGGGCACAACCGAGGAGATCCGCAGCCGCGACTTCCGCAAGGAGCTGGAGGAGCGTGAGCGCGAGGCGCGTCCTGGGGCCACCTCGGGCAAGGCCCTACCCTCGATTGTGCGCAAGGCCATCGAGGCAAACAACGCCAGCGGCAGCACCAACAAGCGTGCCAAGGTTGATGGCCAGGTGCTGCAGCAACAACAGCAGGCCAATCTCGATGCGGACGAGGCCTTGGACAACGACTCTTCCGATTCGGACAGCGACTCTGACGACGATGATGCCGCCCTGCTGGCCGAGCTGCAGAAAATTAAGCACGAGCGCCTGCAGGAGACAGCCCGACGAGATGCCGAGAAAAGTCGCGAGGATGAACGTATCCGCATGGAGAACATTCTTTCCGGAAATCCCCTGATTAACTACGAGCCGGGCACTGCGGCCTCCGCAGCCGGACGGGCCTCTGGCCTGGGCGGTGACCTCAAGATCAAGCGCCGCTGGGACGACGATGTCGTGTTCAAAAACTGCGCCAGATCGGCGCCCGAAAAAAAAACGCACTTTGTCAACGACGCCTTGCGCTCTGATTTCCACAAGAAGTTTATGGACAAGTACATTAAATAGACGGATTAAGAACTAAGAACCATGCTAGGATTTAATTGAAAATGTAATGATTAAGAACTAAATCTGTATAACTTTCAGCTGCTTTCTGCAGGCAATTAATTAAAATCGACATTTTGTATACCCCTTACCCCTTACCGTTCGTTCCTTGTTACGTTCTCTGAGTCTGACCCAATGCCTGACCGCGGCGACGGCAGCGGCTATGACCATCGATCGGTCGACCGACGAGTGCGAAGGGCAGGCAACCTTAACCAAAGTGTGAAACCGCAAAAAACGTCGGTAGCCAGTGGCAGAAGAACCAGCAGCAGCAGCAGCACCACCGCGAGCAGGAGGGGACGAAAGAATGGAGGGGAAGCAGCAGCAAAGTCAAAGTGGAACGAGGGGCACCAGCTACGTGAGCACACGAAGCGCATAAGAAGCAGCAGTGGCAGTGGCAGTGGCAACAGCAATCATGCTGAGAGACGGTGCAGATGACGATCATCATAAGGGCAATTGTCGCTGCTGATGAGGCACGAAGCAAAATCAATTTGCCAAAAGGAGTCGAGAGCCAGAGCCAGAGCCAGAGCCGGAGCCATAGCCAGAGAGCGCAAAATAACTTGGTCAATTACGCCGATCCTCCGACCCGAACGTTCCAGCAACAAATGCAAATCATCAGCTTGCAGGGGAGTGCAGGCTTGGGGGCAAAGAAGGCTTGTCCCACAATTTCCACGCCTCTTTAAAGCCCCGCACGCGGCCTTCTCTGCTCCATCTGAACCCTAACATTGTCAATGAGCCCACGTTTCAGCGGACCCCGCTGGACCCAGTCTGGTGTCTGGTGTCTGGTTCGACAACTACGGGCCAGCGACCAGTCGCGACCCCGCTCCCAAAGTTGACGAACGCTCAATTTTACGCTAATTCGATCAGAATCAAAATCAAACAAAATTATCCTCGCCGAAGCCAGAAGAGCGATGATCATGTTACACTAGCCACCATGCTATGGCTTCGGTTTTAAACACACATTTCAACTACATTATAACATCCTGCATATACATGAGGCTTACCCAACAGAATAGTCGCAGTCTTATTTTCTTTTATGCAGCTCCCCTCATGGGTGTGTGTCTTAGTTATTTGTTGACCAGTGTATGGATTGTGATTGACAATGATCATGAGTTTCAGGATGATAAGAATCATGATGATTGTTGTTATTACGCTGCGGGTTATGCCGCTTCTGTCTGCCGTCTTGTGTCCGCCTCCTACAGCACAGTGGCAGTGGCAAGACCTGGGTTGCAACAACAGCAGCAGCAGCAGCGGCAGCAGCAACAAGAATAATTTATTTCCTGTTTTGCATTATGCATCCCCATTATTTGTGCATTCATCAAGAGTCAGCCAGCCCAGCCAGCGAAGCCAATCTGCGCTGCACTTTTCGGTAGTCGCCGCGCGCTAAATTGTGGCCACCGAGCAGGGGCCATGGACGAGGACATGGGTCTGGGGCTGGAGTCGGTCCAGGGAGTGGAGTGGCGTTCCACTGCCATTGCCATTGCCATGGCCTATCAATTGTCAGCAATTTTACAACTGCATAAACTTGCAACAAAAACAACTGCGTAAATATGGCGACTGTCCGGCGGAAATGGCCGTCGCGGTTGCAAGTGACAAATAGCCAGCGAACGATGGCCGTTGGAGTTGCAGGGAAGAATGGCAAGCGAATGGGATGGGATGGGATGGGCAAGGGCAAGGGAGGCGGAGGCGGAGGCGGAGGCACTAGACCAGTTGACCACCAAATAAAGACCGCGAACATATGTTTCTGACGCCGCAGCTGGGTGGACGAGACACCATGAAGGAATCTGGGTGGGGCTGGTCGAAACTTTATCGGTGATCACTGTGAAATATTGAAGCATAACCAGACATACATACGTATACGCGTAAAACACATCTTTGGTACATTGGAACTTCAGCTTATAATTGTCAGCAAGGTCATCTTTGAATGAAGAGAAGGATGTTGGCTTCATTCAACATTTAATATTGAGTACCAAAAACAAACATTACCATAGATAAGTATTTGCCATAGTCAAGATCTCTGCTCGATGGATCATATTCCACCCTAACTACATGCAACACACACAGAGGAGGCAACACTTTATTTTGCTTTAAAATTTTATAGAATGCAAATTTGACTCAGCTGTTGCTGGCGTGGTCTTTCCTATCCCGTCTAGGCCTGGTGTCGGGCACTGGGACTTGGACCGGGAGGCGGGGCTTCGACAGCTTGGCCGTTGCTGCTGCTGCTGCTGCTGCTGGAACTGTAACTGATGCTGCATAATTTAGTTGACCAATTTACACTGCAACCGTTTGCCACTCACTGAGTGCAACCGGAAACGCATGCACCAAAAAAGCCAATGAATTTTGTGGCCTCCACACGCACGCACACTAGCAAACCAATGCCTGCCTGCCTGCCTGCCTGCCTGCCTGCCTGCCTGCCAGCCACACGTACGAGTACGGTGCATGGTGTGTGGGGGGGAGTGTGGAACGAAGCATGGAGCATGAATATTTTTATTTGTATGTATTTTTTGGGGTCTGCACTTGACATATTTACTCGCAATGACCATTTGTAAATCGTCTCCGCTGCACAGCTTCGAGCTCGGACCAGACCAGGCCAGGCCGTACCAGACTAGGGCAGGACATGACTGAACAGAATAAAGATGGGGGATATGGAACCCCTGCGAGTTCATCAGTTAACGTTTAGGAGGCAGTTCTGGTGAGAGGTCGTGAGGCCACAGGCGAGCCTCTTGAGAGTGGAATGGCTACTGTGTACAGGACTACAGGAGTTTTGTTAAATTTGTACTCAGTTCTTAGTGCCAGTAAATCAATTCTAAAATTCAATACATTCCCCCCAACTGATAGTTAGAACTGAAAATATTGAAAACTTAAAGATCTCTTTGATATTTGTCGTTGCATGCTTCAGTTATGCCCAAACATGTAAGCTTACCTAGTTGTAGCTTTCCTACTCGCTTTCTTATACCCGTACTCGAAGAGGGGCATGAGGGGCATATTGTGTTTGTGGTAAAAGTGGGTGTAGTTTTTTATTGAAAATGAGAAGTGCGTGCAGGGTGCGTCAGTCGTTCGTAGCGACCCTGTAGAGTCGCTTCCCGTTCCGTTTAATTTTGTTGCTTGCAGTCCTAACAAGTATACGCATCGGAGACGTATACGCCGCAATGAAATCCGTGTGGCCATCCCACGGTCGAACCAATGCCACAATGCAACAATGAAGCGTTTCCATTGTGATGGTGGTGGTGGTGGTGGTGGCGGTGGTGTTGGCATCAATCCAAAAGCTGTGCCAGTCCAATCTATGCCTCTGGTGGTGGTGGCGCCTGCCTCTGCCTCTGCCTCTGCGTTTGCATCGCTTGTGTTAATGGAGCTGCAAACCAAACTAATTCCAAGTTGGAGTTAATTTGATTATAAACAAATTTCGCCTACGCACCAATGACGGACATCAACAGCACTCATTGCAGCCCTCACACACTGCACACTTTTGCGGACGTGTGGCAGACCAGACGCATATTTCCGCAGAAAGGCGATGGACCAGACGGGGGCATTGACTGGTCGCTAATGTCGGACTAGTGCCGGACAACGGGACTTGAGCAGCTCGGCAACAGGTGGGGCTGAAGGTGGCGGGAGAAGGGCTGGGGTGCTGTGGTGCTGTGGTGCTGGGGCTGGGATCGCTGCTGATTCGGTGGCTTTTTCTGCTCGCCGGAAATGCAAATTGCACAATTTGGTCTAGGAGCCAGGATCCAGGATCCAGGAGCTGGGAGCTGGGAGCCGGTAGACCGGAGTGAAGGTGAGCAAAAACTAAAAGCTCATTTGCAGCTACTTCCGCTGCTAAATGAAAATGCATTTCCTGCTTGGAAAAGCGTTTAAGCCATTGCCCCATGGCCGCGTGGCCGGTGGGCGCTGTTTTTGGGGAGGGTTAACTGGGAGGTGGGGTGCACTGTCTAACGGCACCACTCGACCGGATTCTGCTCGGTTCGACCGGGCGGCGGCTCCTCTTGTTGTCTGTGATAGAAATTTTTATGCAAAATGTTGCGACATCTGTAAATGATTTGCTGCCATTAAAATCAGGAGGATGAGGAACAGCAGTCTGAGGGCTAAGGCCTGAGGCCTTTGCCTGGGGTCCACGGGTCCATGGTTAGTCTCTCCCATCTCCCACACACGCAAGCTAACTACTTCCTTGCTACGAGTACTGTCACACTTCCGGCCAACGGCAAAAGTCACCAAATGTTGTGTGCCCCAGCCCCATGCCTTGCCGTGCGCTGGGGCATGCAGTTGGAGTCGCAGTAGCAGTAGCAGTAGCAGTCGCAACAGCATCCAGAGCGGAGACGTAGACATAGACCGAGGAACCTGTAGGCTGGCCACAAAATGCGTTCCGTTCGCATTTTCTTTGCTGACACATACACGACCAGGGGGTGGGGGGGGTGGTGACCCCCTCCGACCAAGAGCCAAGAAAAAACGGGACAAATCGGACTGCTTGCAGACTCCAACGACTAATGGATACGCTACCAGATGGATACCAGATCGTAAATTCGGTAGGTAGGCATCAGCATAAGGGAGTTCCATGCAAAGGGATTCAAAGGGAGGATTACCTTTTCCATGGTACCAGTGCCATTGCCTAACCAAAGTATTCCTTCGATGGCTAAGGGTGCGTTGGGTCCTTTCTAGCCTGGGGCTTCCTTGCAGGCTCATGCATCCATTTAGAGTGAGAAATTGACCATTAAAACAGACAGCTACACATGTTGACAAAATGCGAACGCGAAGTCTGAGGGATGGGGGTACCATTAACCCCCGCTCGGGGTGCGGTGACTTGCCCTTGCCCTGGCCCCAGTCCTGTTCCTGTGCCTGTTCCTGTGCCTGTGCCTGTGCCTGTGGCCCTGTCCCTGTCCTTGTCCCTAGCCTGGACCGTCGAGGTCGAGTGTATCCCAAGTGAATCGTTGTCGTTGCCAAGTGCTGCAATTCTCATTGCGATAATCAAATTGTAGGTTTCGTTGTCGTCTGCTCGATTGCTGGACGGCCAGGCCCCGGTGCCAGGGCCAGCCTGGCAGAGAATGAGGATTGGATAGAGATGGGGATGGGGATGGGGATGGGGATTGGAATGGGTGC